AGAGAAGTTCTGTGTAGGGAATGGCAGATGATTTCTCACACCACAGGCTGTATTTTCCTCTGCCTTTCTTCTTGCACTGAGCATTGAAACAAAGGTGCCTTTCTCTGCAGCACTGGTGATGAACATGCCCGAGGGAACTGGGGATATTTAGATCAGGTAGCAGCTCTGCAGTGGATTCAGGAAAACATCATCCATTTTGGAGGAGATCCAGGATCTGTCACTATCACTGGAGAATCTGCAGGAGGAATCAGTGTTTCTGCTCTTGTAAGTTCACAGTAACATCGAATTTTAATTACTTATGGGATTAAAACCACCCTCCCTGTTCGTTTTCAGTATGTGCATGAGAAGTGTGGGAGAAAAGGGATGCTGTTACAGTAAGTGGCACATCACCTCTGTCTATGGTACAACAGTACAAGTACTTGTAGTTAATCCCAAAATGTTATCTCTCATCCACTAAATTAAATTTGGTGTGTTTGCTTTTTTTCAATGTAAACAAACCTGCCAAAGTGTATCCTTGTGAGAAAAGTCCTGTAAGAGGACTCACAGACCAGTCACTTGTGCAAAGTAATCGAGGTGAACAGTCACAAGAGCTGAACTGGACACACTTTTTGTGTCCCAGTGATTGTGTTAAAATTTTACATCAACACAGAGTACATTGGCTAAGATGCTCTTCTTCTCCAGCCTCTCACAATTTGGTGCAGATCACACAGTGAAACCAGGGTTCATTGGGATAAAAATTCCTGGTTCCTAAGCTTTGGCCCCCTGGCCAATAGTTCTTTATTCCCTTTTGCAGCACAGCCAGACTGCCCTAGGCATATTCCATTAGTTTCTGGTTTGCAGTGGAGTTCCATGAAGTCTGGGAAGCAAAATGCTGTGGGAGGGGAAAACACAAGCATGAAATCCTTATCTCTGCTAGAGCTGCCAAAGCCCTTTGCACAGCTGAACTATGGTCAGAGGCTGCAGAGTAACAATCATGACATTTGCTTTCAAAATGTTTTAAATGGCAATTCCTGATATCAGAATTCTTAGTCAGTGGTTAAAACACAATGCTTGTCATGCTTGTCCTTGCTTTTTCACAGGTCCTATCTCCCCTGGCAAAGGGCTTGTTCCACAGGGCCATTTCAGAGAGTGGTAATGCCCTTCTGGGTTTGTTCACCGACCAGCCTAAGGAGGAAGCACAAGTGGGTATTTTGTGCTAATTTTAATTCTTTTTTCAGATAGCTTTGCATATCTTAAACTGTTTATTCTAAATATAGAAACAGGCTTTTGTTCTTGTGAAACAAAACCCACAGTCAGTAAAGACAGTGTTTCTGTGTGCAAATAGTCCATATTTAATGATGCTCTGCTTTTCAAGTACCCAAATATCCACATGTGTCTCAGTGAAAGCAAAAGACCAAGGAAGTGAAGAGAGAAAGCAGGGAAGAAGTGTGAAATGTCAAGGAATATTATAACATGTAGTGTCTTCAAGGAAGGTGAGCTATAATTTTTGGCTGGCAAATGGTATCAGATTCTGAATACTCCTCTCTTCCCCTTCTATTTGATGCCCATTTGCAAACAAACAAGACTTTATTCAGTTTGTTTAATTTGAGAAGTACTGACCTCAACCCTTTTTGTTCTTCTTCAACTATAAGAAACAACTTCCAGGAATGCAGAACCTGGGATAGAAAAGAGACAACACTTTAATGAGCTCTCTCTAATGACAGCTGTTACTCCAGCCAAAAAGACATCACCAAAATGGTATCAAGTGCTCTTTGTTACCATACAGATGGTTGTATTCTCTAAGCCCTTTATGCCATTCTGCTTTCTCAGCCCAGCATCTTATTTATCAGAAGGATTATCTTGGCATATTTCTGTATCAAAAAGAAGTTGGAGGCATAGGTTTTGTCCTTCTGCCCAGCCCACAGTGTGAAGGTTAAGAGGGCTTCCTATTCCCTCCCTGCACAGCTGGGACATGCAAGGCTCCAGCCATCCTTGTGCAGGAGTTTCTGCTCCCACACTGGGCTCTTGGGTTTGGTGGCTCATACAGTCAGATATAGGAAATGTGTCCAAAAGTGTTTGTTTTTATTGCTTACAGAAAATTGCTGATGTCTCTGGCTGTGAAAAATCCAGTTCAGCTGCAATAGTTGAGTGCTTGAGAGAAAAAACAGAAGAAGAGATAATACAGCTAACACTAAAAATGGTAGGGGAAATTATACCTCTTGCATTTAAATGACATTTCAAATATTATCATCACAGAGAATACTATTTGTGTGTTGTGATGTCAGGAGAATTCGAAGTGAGTGTAACCTCTGACTTTCTGGACCTTTCCAGGACATGACAACACTGCGGCTGTGCAACACCTCCCCTGAGAACTGCAAACAGGTACTGCCCTTTCTGCATGCAGCCACTTGTGGTTGCTGTCATGCTCTCCCAGGGGAAGGGAAAGAGTGTATGAAATGTCAGAGTTTCACCCGGAGAACCTGAAAATTAATTCATATAATATATTACGTCCAACTTAAAAGGTGTTATCACAATGCTGGGCTATATGGGCCTTTGAAATTCCAATACACAAGTTGGTTTTGCCCTTGCTGCTCCACACATCTGTAACAATACTGAACTAAGAAAAGATGTAAATTGGATATAATCACTTATGTTTCACAAACATTAGAAATTTAATGCTAATTTCACAGAAGCTTCTGCGTGGTGCAGAAAATCTGTCAACATTCCTTATTGTATTTTCATTTGGCTTCGCTTTGGAACTACAGTAAAAACTCTGGACTTTTTTTTAGAAGCAAAATTACAGTATTAATGAAGCTTTCCTTTTCTTTTTTCCCCCATTTTTTCAGGATTTCTTTTTCATCAGTACATGTGTAGATGGTGTATTTTTTCCAAAGAGTCCCAGGCAATTACTATCTGAAAAATCAATCAATGCAGTCCCATATATGATAGGAGTAAATAATGGTGAATTTACGTGGGTACTTCCTATGGTAAGAGACTTACAATGTTGTTACCCATGTATCATTTTGTAAATATAAGATTTTGTAAGAAATATGATTCTCTGTATCATGCAGATGATGAAATTTCCCCCTTTCATGGATGGTCTGGATAAAAATGTTGCACGTGAAATTTTACAAATCTCCTTAGTAGTATTACATAAGGTAAGAGACCATTTTCAGAATAACCCAGTGCTGCTGCTTCACTTGCTCTGGTTCTGTGTTTGCACTCCTGGAGGGATACATTTCACAGGCAAACTTTGTTCTGTTGAGCAGCTTCCTACCCCGGGGCAGTAAAGGGCAGCAGTGTGGTGTGTT